AGCCCTATTTGGCCCATGACAAAGAAGTGTTAGGGTAAATTCAAATTGTTAACTTGCTGCATTAAAGATTAAGTATTCTTTTAAACCCCAGTTCTGGTTAGTGTCTGCGCTCAGCAGCAAGGAAAGCTATCCTGTAAAAAAGCAGTGACTAAGGGAGCAGCTTTGCCCGGGGCTAATCCTTTGTGTCCGAGTCACTACCTCCGAGAGGCATGTAGTATAACAACTTGCAAAAGCTGCTGCTTTGGGTGGCTCCGCCTACGGTTTTAGACTCTGCTTAGTCTTTTAGTACTAGGTGGGTATCTATGACTCTGATATAAAAGAAAGCATTTTGTTTCTGTACAATTTGATGCAGACCCTTCAGTTTGCTAACATGCTAAAACCATCACTCTGCTGGTTTCGGTTTCCTATTAGCCTACTTAAAGCAAACAAAATTTTGTCCACCGCTTTGTCTAGGATTCCTGCCTCCCTGCAGCTTCCAGCTACAACTAGCCCAGTGCATCTGCAATTCACTACATGAATCCTAATAGACTGACTTTGCTTATGGCCTTGGCAATATCGACTTGTCATCCAATGTTAAAGTTTCTTCCAGGATTCTGTGCTCTTGAGCTCAGTGCTTCATGTCAATAGCTCTCAAAGCACCCATTGTTAAATGGAGGAGGTAAGGGAATAAACATATTCACCTACTCTTCTAATGTGAGACTTAAGATAATTCACTATAACCTCAGGTAAATCAGTCATTCAGAAAGAAAACAATGGATTGATTATTCACTGATTCATTTACCCACTTCACTTACCCACTTATTAAAAATGAAGTCCATACATACAGGAAACCTGTTTTTGTTTTCTGCGGATCTAGTTGCAAAAACAGTATGGGCACATATGTTTACATTCAGAAAATACAAAGAAATAAAGTAAAGGTAACCTTCTGCCCTCAAAGATCTTACTATTCCATAAGCAATCCACCTGTGTTAACAGTGAAAAATTCTATGGGCAGAGAGGGGGAAGGGGGCGGGGGACAAGAGGAGGGGAAACTCAGAAAACCAAAGATCTCTTTCCCCTTTGAAACCTACTTTGGATATTATCTTTGGCATCATTTAACCTCTAGGTACCTTAGTTTGGTCATGTGGAAATGGAATGATGTACACTGTATGAGGATAATATATTGAGTTCAGCCATGTAAAACAGAGAACCCAAGTAAATAATAGAGGCTTTAACAAGATGAGTACGTATTTCTCTTCAAATAATCAAATTTCTATAGTTACAATTTAGGGCAGGCTTACCATCAGAGACCCAAGGGGGGGTTTTTGTCCCCTGCTCAGTTGTCCTTAACATGTTCATGTCATTTTATTGTGATAGATGGCTGTTGGAGCTTCAGTATCACAACCATATTCCAAACCAAAAATTGGGAAGAAGAAAAGGTCAAAGGGTTCATTTGGCTGAGATGAATTCCTTTTAAGGAATTAGGCACAGGCTATACTTTCCCTTAAATCACAATGGCTAGAACTCTACCCCATATTTACAAAAGATGCTAGGAAATGAGGGTTTTTTTAAGGTTGTCACTTGCATATACAACAAAATCAGAGCTCTGTTAGTAAGAAGGTAAGGACGAATAAGTATTGAATAACAAACTTACTGTTTCGGTCACAAGTACAATCTGCTTATATATACAGCAAACATTTATTGCATGTGCATTTTGGGTCAAGTATATCAAGTATATTGCAATAGTTACTATGGAAATAGAGGAGTATAGAGATGAATGAAATGCTTCTTATAGACTGAATATTGGTGTCTCCTACAATTTATATATTGCAACTTAATTCTGATGTGATGGTACTAGGAGATGAGGTCTTTGAAATGTGTTCAGTCAGGAGGGTGGAGCCCTTGTGAATGAGATCAATGCTCATATAAGAGACCCCAGGGACCTCCCTCATCCCTTCCACAGACAGTGAATGAGGCAGTGGGACCTCACCACCAACTACCAGATCTGCCAGAGCCTTCATGTTGAACTTTCCACCCTCCAGAAAAGGAAGAAACAAATGCCTCTGTTTAAGCCATCCAACTAACAATATTTTGTTATAAAAACCCGTGCTGACTAAGACAGTGCTATTCCAAGTGTCTTAAAAGAGAGATAATGAAATATTTATAAGAATTTTTTCATCTGCAAGTCTGTTTTAAAAGCCTTATAAACCTGATGCAGCAGTCCCAGGGCTAGCCTGTATTTGAGGGAGGGGACACTGACTTTGCCTCTCAGTCAGAGGGCTATTGCAGGAATTGCTGTAATCGTCTGTGAAACAATTTCATACATTTCATAAGGTCTCCAGTGTTACTTTGGTAGGCTGAGTGTCTACCTGCCTGCTATGAGCACTTTTCCTTACCATGGTCAAAATTCTCTAGAGTTTATTATATATAGCTTTGTTCAAATAATTTATTTACAGAAAATTCAAGAAATAATTCTAATGAAGCGAAGCAAGACATGGATAATCTAAAAAAGTGATAGGGGTGATTTATTTGGGGAATGAATTTATTCAGAGGATTTGCTTCTATGACTATATTTTTTCTTGCAGGTTTGAAACTTTATTTGCATACCCTGGGCACGAAAGTGGGAGAATTCTGAGTACAAAGAGATGATGATCTGGATATAAACAAAACTCCATCATAGAGAAGCCACACATTTTAAAATATATAGATCACTGAAAGTTGATGCATAGTACATCTGCTTTTGTTGATTCAATTTCTCCACCATATTATAAAATCTTTGAATAGAGGGGAGTAGTTACAAATTATAAAAATATTAAAGTCGAGCATAATATGCTGAGACCTAAGTCTGAATACAATCAATAATTCTTAGTGACAAGAATATAGTTACCTAGCTCTAGTGTTGACCCAAAAGCTAATGAGTTGAAGTGATTTTATTGTGTCTTTTATTTCCTTTCTTCTGTTATAAATATTTGTTGTGTGTATGTGTGCACCCATGTAGAAAGAAAAAAAGAAAGGAGAGGGGGGAAATAATAAAATAATGATAGAAAATGATATTAGCATTTTTTCTTTATGCCAAAATTCATAGTAGTAGAAAGAATGGTTTTACTACATGATAAGCATTTAAAACACATTTTATAAATATAAAGTGATTTTGAAGTTTACCTCAGTGAATGTAATGGAATACTTATTGCTTTTATTTAATTTGGAATGGGATATACATTACTGTCTCTTAGCTAGGTTCTTTTTAAACTATTAATGATTTAATTTTCAATTTCATCAAGAAGAAAAAAATAGTTATTGCATAGGTGTCTTTTTCTCCAGACACTGAGTCATTATTTAATTATTGTTTATAACTTTACATACCAAATTTGTATTTTTATCTGTGTGCTGCAATTGACTATACATATTTAATTCATTATCTCATATACTTTTTAATCAAGGCATATGAAGATCATTAGCTTTTCTTATAATGCCATGTTTTCTTCAAAGACTAGAAAGAATGCAGAAGAGACAATATTTAAAATCATATTAGGAGTAAATTTTCCCCTTGTAAAAATATGGATTCACAGAGTCAATGCATCACAATCAAGATTAACAAAAGAAATCAATGCTGAAACACACTGTAGTAAAACAAAAATACCAAAGATAGTAGTAATCTTGAATGGAGACAAGGCAACATGAACTGCAATTTAATGACTATTAAAAAGACCATGAAATTGTCAACAACAGCAACAGGAGCCAGAGTCATGAAAAGTTATCTTTAAAGGATTAAGAGATGATAACTATCAACAAGAATTATAACAAAATATAATGCATTGTGTTATCGATACTTTTATATAATTCCAAATTAGTCAACATAAGCACTATATAAGATTGCATATATGTGCGATAAAAGTACTATGTATACTGTGGTAGATGGATATGCATAGTACAGTGTATAACATAGTATAATATAGAGCAACATGATGTAGTATAGTATATCTATTACATACTATTTTTTGAATAGTGCTTATTCTAAAATGAGAGAAGGTAGAAGAATAGGATAGCGGAGGAGCACATTCAAGGCACACTATAGTGATGAATTTTTTATATGTGTCTTGATTCATGAGTTTACATTGTACCATAATTTAAAAAGTAAATAAGCATAGACAAAGATAATAGTGCTTTAAGCAAGAACTCTGTTAAAATTAAAAATAAAAAAGATCTGGATTCATAAAATAATTGAGCCTAAGAAACAGATAAAGACATAAAAATTATCACTTGATACCACTATTTGACTGCTAATAATCTTCACTATGCCACAGAAGACAAATAGCTGTTGAATTTATGGTGTCCTGTGTGAATAGTCCTCATCAGCATGGACTGCCTTTCTTCCCTCAGGGTTGAACTGAGGTGGAGAGTACAGCTATGGAAAGATTTTTCTAGTATCATGGACTCTGAATCTCTTTTCTATTACACACAGAGAAACACTTATCACCAAAATAGGTTCTAATCTGCTTCTAATGGTTCTACACAAACTCAGACAGAAATGGGGCAAAGATGAAATTCTACATTAAGGATAGGAGTCATAATATGTAGAAAATAGAGTAAAAGCAATATCAAATACAAATTACCTGGAGGTAACTGATTTAGGATTAATTTGTTCATGAAAGTTCTCTGATTTTGTAAATTATCGATTGGTATTATTTTAGGTCATGATGCATTTGCAATTACTATCTCCATTAGTTCTACCTCACTTAATATTTTTCCCATATCACCTTGTGTGACCTTGGCCCTGTGCAGAAATATAAAGAAGAAAGACATTGATTGGGACCAGAGTCTTGCCAGGATTTGCTGATTCCATGATGGCTACTGACATCATTGAAACAAGGCTGTAGATACATTCAGCCATGCTTAAACAATGTATTTTTTATCAAAATTTATACTGGCTACACACGTCTCCAATTTATTTTTCATTATAACCATATTGTTTTAAAGGTGTTTTTGTACTCCTTGTTTTTACTATCAGTTTGGTGTATTTTTCAAATATGGAATAAGTCACAAATTTGTGTGTCGTCCTTGTCCACAGACCAGTCTAATCTTCTCTGTATCCTTCCAATTTTAGTATATGTGTTACCAAAGTCAGCACTACCATTAATTTTAATAAATATTGTCAAGGTCATATATTAAACTCTTACATTATTTATATATATTTGTAATGAAAAAAATTTATATGTGAGAATGTAGATACCAATGTTCCTATTAGCAGATTGTTGTATCTGAAAAGATCTTTGGTGAGATTTAATACAAGTATATATATTCCTGGAAAACTTAAGTCATTTTATTTCAGGAAACAATGCTGCTTTGTGTAAAAAAAAAAGACTTGAAAAAATCTGCTACATATATAATAATCTTTAATGATAGCAGCTGACAAAAGAATAAGGCTATAATTAAGTTCAGTTCAGAAAAAGAAAACACTTTTCATAATGTAGCCTGCAGAATTTCTTTTCTTATATCATTAAAGGTTTTAGAGCAAAAAACAATCAATAAATAAAGCAATCAGTGCTTGTTTCATACCATCAAAAGCACTTTAATAGCTACATAGAAATGTCACTTTAGTCTAAAAAGATATACAGGCACAAGGAAATATAATAAGGCCATTATTCAATAAATTAAATAGGAGCATATTTAGCCTTCAGATTCATAAATGTTCCCACAAATGGCAGGATTTTCATCTGGTTTAGGCTGAATAATATTTCACTGTATGTATTGAGGGTGTATGTCACAATTTTGCTATGCATTCATTTGCCAAAGTATATTCAGATTGCTTCCCACGTCTTGGCTATCTCGAATAGTGCTCCAATAGATATGGGAGTGTAGATAACCTTCAAGATTCTGATATCAATTCTGATATCAATAATACCCAGTGATGATATGAATATGTCATATAGTAGTTTTATTTTTTAGTTTTGAGGAACCTCCATATAGTCTTCTATAGTGGCTGCCTCAATTTATATTACCATGAACAATGTATATGGGTTCCCTTTTGTCCACATCCTCACCAAAACTCATTTGCTGTTGTTGTTTTGTTAACAGCCATCCTTACAAGTGTGAGGTAATATCTCATTGTGGCTTTGATGTGCATTTTCTTGATGGTTAGTGATGTTGAACATCTTTTCATATACCTGTTGGTCATTCGTATGTCTTCTTGGAGAAATGTTTCAGTTCCTTTGCCCATTTACTAATTGGATTGTTTTCTAGCTGTTGAGTTATAGGAATTCCTTTTTTATTTTGGAGAGCAACCTTTTATCAGACATGTAAGTTGTAAGTATTTTCCCTATTGTGTGGGTTATATTTTAATTTTGTTGATTGTTTCCATTGTTTTTCAGAAGCTGATTTTTAGTATTTTGTATTTCTTTCCCTTCAACCACTTTACTGAGGTATGACTGACATACTAAAAGCTGTACATATGTAATGTAAACAACTTACAAAGAGTTTGGAGAGAGGTGGACACCTGTGAAACCATCAAGTATTCTTACTAATGAGAAATTTATAAGACTAGACTTTATGAGAAATCTAAAGTAGCCAAACTTATAGAAGAAGAATAAGAATAGTGGTTGCCAGGGCCTAGAAGGAGGGAGAAATAGGGGGTTATTAAGTTAAAGGGTACACAGTTTCAGTTGTACAAGATCAATAAATCCTGGAGATCTACTGTACACCACTGTACCTGTAGTTAATAGTATGGTATTGTATACTTAAAAAATGTGTTTACAGGGTAAATGTTATGTTTGCTTTGACCACATAATAATAACAATAATGAGGATTGGAGGAAATTTTAAAGGTGATAGATATGTTTATGGAATAGATCATGGTGATGGCTTCACATGTATATAATTACTTCCAAGCTCATTAACTATGTATAGTTTTTTGTATGTCAATCATACCTCAGTGAGTGAAGTTTTTTTCTTAAGAAACAGTATATTTTCCTAACATAAACTTTACCTTTTTTCTGTTTTATACATGCATACCAAAATCTTAAATACTACTGATTGAATTATGATCAATTATTTGCTACAATAAATGTTTTGGAGGAGATCTTAAGTAAGATGCACTATTTTTGGATATGCAGTATGTGTTGGCAAATATGGATATTTAAGACAAATGTCATTCTGTCATGAGCACAGGCATAAGAGTTAAAACTAAGTTTGAAACTTGGCTCAGCTCTTTCACAGCTGGTGACTTTGGGCAAGTTTCCTTACCAGAAAATGGAGATAGAGACTTCCCTACAGGCAGATCTTCAACATGAAATGATAAGTGCATATAATGATTTGTGAAAAGATCTGTCATTTAATAAACACTCAGTGAATGGTCATTATGTCATTCATTTATTTTGAAGGGTAACATCAAGAGAGAAATAGAAAATAAATGCTAGTCTAGTCCAAGTGCTGATAACCTAAATATTCAGTGAGCTTAATACAATTCAGGGTTTAATCTAAGAAAATGTCATAAGGTCATTAATTTCTTTTCTCACATAACTCAATTTTGGAAGAAATCAGATATCTTTTTGTGAAGATGGTTGCTTTTGGCTCCTGATGAAAAACAGCAAAACAGATATGATGCTAGGAAATAGTGGGTGGGAGTGTGCCAATTTGGTGGGCCAAATCAAATTTCTGTGGCTACAATGACTTTTAGAAATTGAGTCCAACTTCTTTGGGACTCTCTGAGCTTCCTGGATTTCCTGGAAGTCTATTTCCTTTGCCAGATTGGGAAAATTCTCCTTTATTATTTCTTCAAATAAGTTTTCCACTGGTGGCTGTTCCTTTCCCCCTTCTGGTACCCCTATAATTCGGATGTTGGAGCATTCAAAGATGTCCTGGAGGTTCCTAAGACTCTCCCCATTTTTTTGAATTCTTGCTTCTTCACTCTTTTCTGTTTGGCCATTATTTGCTTTCTTCTGGTCCACTCCATTGATTTGAGTCCCAGTTTCCTTTTCATTGCTATTGGTTTCCTGTGCAATTCCATTCATTTCAATGAGTTTTGCCTTCATATGTTTGTCTAATTTGTGGCTATAATCAACCAGTTCTGTGAGGATCCTGATCACCAGTGTTTTAAACCGTGCGTCTGAGAGTTTTGCTACTTCTTCATTGCTTAGATTTATAGGGTCTGGGGCTTTGAGATCTTCTTGAGCCATTTTTGGTCTGTTTGCACCCGTTAAGTATGAGAAGTGGAGCCTTGGACTCCCAAGTTGCTGGGTTATGACGCTGTATGTGGGGGCATGGTCAGAGTGGGGAAATGGTGGCCCCCTCTGCTGTTTTGCGCACGGAAACATAGAAATTAAGATCTCAAGGAAGGTTAGCAACAGGGGAGTGGGAAGAGGAGAAGGGGGGAGAAGGTACAGAAAATAAGTAGCATAGACAGTAGATAGAAAATAGATGGGGGGAGGGCAAGAATAGTAGAGGAAATGTAGAATCTAAAGAACTTGAGACACATGGTCATAAACTAAAGGGGGGGTAATGGTGGGGATGGGGGTAGGGTGGAGGAGAATGAAGGGGGAATAGGACAACTGTAATGGCATAATCAATAAAATAAATAAATTTTAAAAAAAAGAAATTGACAGCAGGCTGATACCACGTTTTCATATTCATCCTCAAACAGAGTGAGCTACAAAACTCTTAGCTTCAAGCCTTCCTGATTGGCTGCATTATAACTTTTGGAAGCTTTATAACTGAACTTTAAAATAAATCCACATAATTTGGGGCTTTAAATTCAATTTTTGGAATGTTAATCTAAGAGGACAACAGACATTTATTCTGTGCAAATGTGCCATTGGCTCTCTTAAAACCACGCCACACAATTCTTCTGCCTGTGATTGAGAATCTTATATTGCCTCTTGTCATCGTAAGTTCCGTGAAAGGCAGTAATTTCTTAATGGATATTTGTTCACCTGTCTCATCTATTCCAATAAAAAGCTGAAATAAATATACACTTGAATTGCTCTGAGGATTTATTCACAAAGAAATTATCTGTCAGGAAGTTAGTTATATCCATGAGACATTCATCCCTTCTCTGTGTGTAGTGGGCCACCAGATGGTAGCTCTCCACAGCTCTTGTGGGCTGTGAATTGGCACTAATTGAAACATCAACACTCACTTAAGGCTCCTATAGAGAAACCACATCCCCAGTTCTCCAAGTCCTCTAAACCACGAATTTAGAGTGCACTGCATTTAATGTTATTGTTTTTATTTTGCAAAAATCAATAACATCTTTTAAAAAATTTTACACATGCGGTAGAAAAAAATCCTTGAAATTCTATCATTTACATTTCACATTAAGTTTATTCTGATTCTAAATGGCTCCGAATAGCATTTATTTTTAAGATGGTATAAAACATTACTGTGATGAATGTCACTCTAAGAAGGGTACTATTTTGAATTGCTTTGATTTCTCTGAAGATATATACACAGATTTTTTTTAAGATGGAAAATTAAAATAAATTACTATTTGAGTATCTCCTGTTTCATTTTCAGGGCCATGTGATAGACAGACAAGAACACACTTAAACAGATAATGGTTACTCACATAAGCAGTGTCCCATTTATTATTTCTACAGCAAATATTTTTATTGATCAAGTTCCTAATTGTTGACAAAACTGTATAATAAAATCTTAATTCAACTTACAAATGTTGATTGAAAACTCATAAGTGTTATTCATTGTGCCAGACATGATGGCAGAACAAAGATAGCTGTGGAATAATTTCTAAAAATTTGAGGAAGAAATCAACAAAAATGCAGGGACAAGAAGAATGATTTTAGGAAAATTGGGGTGTTTGAATAGAGATACCAAAATAACCTTTTTTGGCAGGGATCAGGAAAAATATTGAGGAGTAATGAAAAATAAAATAGATTTAGAGTAGATGAAGATGGGGCAAGAACACTCCAGAAACAGAGAATAAAGTTACTAAGAATAAAACATGAAAGTAGTTAGTAGGGTAAATTCCTAAAAAAAAGAGGTTAAATAAATGGAATAAAATGAGACATGGACTCTATTCTGGAAGTTAATTGTTGACTTCACACAAATATAGTTCTCACTGACAGAAAATTAAAAATCTCATTAGAAATTAATAATTTCTATTATTTTTCTGGCTTGC